GTGTCCTCACCATCTGTGAGAGAATAGAATAACTGAATCTTAGTTTTCCGGAATCAACAAGTTCGCACGATAGAATATAAGAAAATGAATTTTTTTTCCTAAGGGTCCGACAGCCTCTCGAAGATAAGTAAAGACGTCTCCGTACCGACCCACAAGACTCTACTGAACCTGCTTATGACTCGTAAGACCTATGTCACCTAAAGCTCTGATACCAACTTATCACGACCCAAAATCTCACCTGTCGTGATGACGCCTATCTCAATACTAGGCAAGCCAAAAATCCCAATAAACCACCATTTCTTTTAAATTTGAAAACAAAATAATTAAATTCAGCGAAAGAAATCTCACAATTTCAAATATAACACTCCCAAAATCCGGTGTCACTGAGTACATGAGCATCTAATATGAATATAATGTTTGACTGATAAAAACTACTGTCTCAAAGTATAGAACAATTCAATAACCGAGGAAAAAGAGAGAAGGTCAGCGGATGCCAAGTAGCTACCCTGATTGTATCCAACTGATAGTACTCTGAAATCTAACAATCTCCGTGTCCGAAAGCACCTGGATTTGCACACGAGGTGTAGAGTATAGTATGGGTACAACTAACTCAATAAGTAACAAGACTAACCTCTGGGCTGAAAGCAATGATGAGCTCTGCAAGTACAGTCCGGTATAAATAATGGTACAAAAATATAGGCATGCTTTCAAGTTCAACAGTTAAAGTCAGTACAAGTGAAATCGATCAATACTTTACAATACGAGGAATATGACATCTCAGTGGAAAGACCTCATGTTATACTGGTCATAAATTATTCGGTCACTCGGTACTGTTTATGGCCAATCCAGCCCAGGGGTGTTCCAACCCGTATATATATACACATCGACGGGCAGTCAGTCCTTCAGTACCGTATAAGGCCAATCCAGCCCTGGGGTAATTTATCCCCAAATGTAAACGATATGGACAAGACCCATGTCTAAGTAAATTCATTGCAATAAAATAAGTAAGGTAAGTCCATGCCCTGGAAAAATCTATCCCGAATATACATATAATCAGTAAGTAAGGCAAGTCCATGCCCTGGGAAATCCATCCCGAATATATATCATCATCTACACTCACTGGATGTGTGTACAGACTCCGGAGGGGCTCCTTCAACCCAAACTCTATATAAATCAACCGCGCTCACTGGGTGTGTGTGTAGACTCTCAGAGGGGCTCCTTCAGCCCAAGCGTGATATAAAGCCAATATGGCCTACTGCAGGAGGGCAGTCCCGATCCGTATAATAATAAAGCCAATGAGGCCTGCTGCAGGCGGGCAGCCCCGATCCATAAAATAGTAAAGCCTATAAGGCCTGCTACAGGCGGGCAACCCCGATCCATATAATAATAATAATGTATAAAGCCATTATGGCCTACTGCGTCGCGCAACTCAATCCCATAAATATCCTCACAATGGACAAATATTAGTGAGTGTGAAATGTATATTTTTGAACAATTAATTCAACAGCAACACGACCCCATGGGTCCCATAATATTGGCACGTAGCCTAAACATGATCTTTAAAAGGATCCTCAACTCAATTTCTCTAACACGTGGAGAATGTTCAGATAATAACATGATTCATTAATCTTACAACTGCACATGATTTATTCAAGACACAATTTATATGGTGCACATCCACATGCACGTCACCTATCATGTGTGTCACCTTCCATACTAAATTCGGGGATTCATACCGTCAGAACCAAGTTTAGAAGTGTTACTTACCTCAAACCGTGTAATTCTTTATTCTGAAATGCCTTTTCCACGTGAATTGGCCTCCAAACGCCTCGAATCCCGTTGTTTCCTATGAAAATCTCTATAAAATCGCCTCTTCCCGAGCTCCAATCCATCAAAAATGGAAAATGGGATGAAGTCCCATTTTCAGAACTTAAACTCTCTGCCCAGTGATTTCTTCTACGCGATCGCGTAGCACAAATTTTTACTCCCCAAAAAAATAACCCTACGTGATCGCAAACTATCCCACGCGATCGCGAAGTTAAAACCTAAAGGCCCACGCGATCACAAACCATTTCACACGATCGCGAAGCACAAACGCGTGGCATTCCCTGCTGCTCCACTTACTCTACGCGAATGCGACCTCCTCCACGCGGTCGCAAATACTAAATTCCCACACCTACGCGATCGCGTAGAACAAAAATATCATTGCCTCAAACAAGCCTACGCGATCGCAAACTATCTCACGTGATCGCGTAGAACAAAGTCGCCTCTGCCCAATTACACTACGCGATCGCAGACAAACTTACGCGATCACGTATAAGAAAATCAGAAGAAAAATACCAGCAACTATCAGCGGTCTCCCAAAGGCCCAAGTGATCCGTTAGCCGTCCGAAATTCACCCGAGCCCCTCGGGACCTCAATCAAATATACCTACAAGTCCTAAAATATCATACGAACTTAGTCGAACCCTCAAATCACCTCAAACAACGCTAAAACCATGAATTACACCTCAATTCAAGCCTAATGAACTTTGAAATTTCTAATTTCTACAAACGATTTCGGAACCTATCATATCACGTCTGATTGACCTCAAATTTTGCACACAAGTAATAAATGACATAACAGACCTATAAAAAATTTCAAAATCGGATTTTGACCCCTATATCAAAAAGTCAACTCCCCGGTCAAACTTTTCAAAAATTTATCTTTCGCCATTTCAAGCCTAATTTCACTACAGACCTCAAAATAATTTTTCAAACACGCTTCTAAGTCCAAAATCATCATACGGAGCTATTGGAATCATCAAAATTCAAATCCGAGATCGTTTACACATAAGTCCACATCTGGTCAACTTTTCTAACTTAAATTTTTTAATTATGAGACTAAGTATCTCATTTCACTCCGACTTCCCTCCGGACCCGAACCAACTAACCCGGTAAGTCTTAAAACGATTGTAAAGAATAAATTAAGCAGTAAATAGGAGAAACAAGATTGTAATACTCGAAACGACCGGCCGAGTCGTTACAGGACTCCACCACGAATGCTATTTTTGGGGTCGGAAGGCAAGTTTGCATCGATAGCCACATGCGAATTAGCGTCAATCGGATCTGCGATTGGAATTCCAGCGGGATCAGCATGTGGTATCTTGTTACCGGGCGCTATATTATTATTTTCACCTTGGTGACCGGACTCGTTGTCAACATGCAGAGGTGCTGATTGAGAGTTTGACATTTTTGTATTTTAACCTGGAATCAAAGACACTTTAAAGAGCAAGTGTAAAACAGTGTGTGTTATAGAGATTTGTATCAAATAACCACTATTATCCTTAGCCCCACGGTGGGCGCCAAACTATTTACCCTCAAAATCGGATAACAATTGAATTTATACGTGGTTTTAAGGATACGTGATCTAACTTGATACAAAATGAGAAGTCAGATTAAGATTGAAATTAATGATAAGAAAAGTAAATGCAAACCACACAAGTTGAACAATCTTGGCTTGAAGGTTGATCACCCTTGAGTCGAAAATGCTACCATTGATTCCGGAATAGAGTAATGAGATAATAATAACTAGAAATGATAGTTTGTTGCTTTGAGATGCGAGTTACAATGTATTTTACAAATAATGAGACCCCCTTTATATAGTAGGGGAGTGCTACTTTAGGTACTACTCTATATAAGGTAAAAAATTTCATGATTTGCTAATTAATCGGTTTTATTGATACGTACCGAGATTTCCGCCATGATGTGTGACCGGTTACAGATATTTCGGCCTTCCGTTATTTTGGTTCGATGATGTTCTCTCGAGCTAATTCGGAGTCAGAGTCAGTTCCGGGGTCACGGAATCCATAATCTTTGAAGGCACATGTTCTAACCTCGTACCTAGGTTCGATGGAATCCAGGGTCGATCTTCAATCCATTATGTTTTATCCCCGATACGTCATGCAATAGGCGAGCTCGGTTTCTACCGTACAAAAAAATAGAATCACTTGGCTACGAGAAGGTGATTTGCTCTATTATCTTATTTTTCAACTTTATTTTAGTCGCAAACCAAGTTTATTTGATAACATTTGAAATTGAATACCAAGTACCAGAAATTCCAAAGGCTATTAATGCCAAAAAAACTAAAGCTTTCAAATGATGTACTTGGTAATGACATAGTAAATGATAAATCTACAGAAATTAATAAAACTACTTTGGAAAATGGTACATTTTTCAACATTGATCAATTATCATAATGTTGATTTTATAAATAGAATTATGCAGTTTATGTTTTATAATAAGCGTGTTACGATTTTGCATAACGCATTAGACTTTTCTGCTTGCTTTTGTTTTTAATTTTGTAAAAGTAGGGCAAATTAATCGAATCAAACCGATATAAAAATAATTGAGACGATTGGAGAACTACAGGAAGTCTAATTTTGATTACATGGAAACAGATCAACCAATTTTCTAATCAAACCATTTACATCCGTAGCTGCAATTAAGGCAATGTATCTTTTAGTTGAAACATGTCGCACGTGATTACCTTTCTTTCTGACTTTTTCTACGAGGGACTGTGGCTATAAAATAGGTAAACGTGAGTCTACCAAATACAAATCTTTGAAGTACACTAGGAAAAAAATATAATAATAATAGGTGTTGTAATTCTTGCCATCTTGGAACAAAATAAATTGAGCTCATTAGGATTTCAATTAATATATTTAACTCTGCATATCAAGAGAAATGAACTTGGTCACGAATAAATCCTCCGTCAGTTTTTTCAGCTCAGGGCCGGATGTAGCATTTTGTCTACGGGTTCAACTGAATCAATAACTTTCAACACGAAATATAAATTTATACGTAAAAACTTCTTAAAATCTCAATAAGTATTATTTGATCCTATAATTTAAACAATACAATAAATTCGATGCTAAAAATCTTAAAAACTGAACTCATTAAATTTAAATTCTAAATCCGACTCTTTTCAGCGGGCGCTACACAATGCATGTTAAAAGGATGAAGCAAGAACAAAGCATCACATTCCAAAACGATTAATAAGACACCAAAAAGCTCATAAACAATTACTAACTACATAGTAAATATTTCAATCACACAATGAAATGGGATTCAAGAATTATAATACTCCTATTACATGATCCAATTCGTATTAACTGATTAATGAACACAAGCTGGAATATATTAAACAATTTTGGCATCAGCAAACATCTCAACTAGGGAATACCAAGTACCAGAAACTCCAAAAAACACCCCTAAGGCTATTAATCCCAAATCAAAAAATGCTCCTTTTCGATCCATATCTTCTTTAAATACCTGATAATGAAATAGTGCTGGCAAAATAAATCCTAGTGCACAACAAGTACTGCTACCAACCAATGACATAAAATCAGCAAAATTAGGAACCAATAAAGCCACTAATGTCACTCCCAAAACAAGTATCCATCTCATCCAAACACAATAATTTCCATCACAAAATCTCCTCTCAAATACCTCAAAAGCTGGATTTAACATCAAGGGAAATGTGAAGAACAAATTAATACAAAGACCAACTTTTACCAATGTGCTTAATATTCCTTTAGCCATATTAGATGTGACTATATCCTTTGTACTTGAACCAAATGCAAAATACCCCATCACTCCAAATGTTCCATACATTAAAGCAATCAAGAACATTGACAAAGCCAATATTTTCCCATACTTTGACTTGTCTTTCATTTCTGCTTCTAAAGGTATAGCCATTCCAACTCCTTCAAATGAATAAAGCGCGACGCCTAATCCATAAAAGAAGGTGGAAACTGTCCCGAAAGCATGTATATCCGACGGCCATTGATTCGTAAAAGTCAGCACATCCTCAACCATAACTACGCCCATTGCACCAATTTGTGCTACGTCCGCGAATATACTCAAAGGGGCTAAAAGTGTCAATGAGGGAATAGAAGTTAATCCCAATTGAAATGGAAAACAACCCCATATGTACAAACTCTTAGCAGAGGAAAACAAAGGAATACCAAAACCTTTTGACAAACTCAAAAGGTGAGACAAAGTATTGCCAATAAAAATAAGATATCCAATACAGAATCCAACTTGAGCTAAAACAATCATAACATCAACAGCAAATCTACCTATAGGACCACAAACAACAAAACCAAGATCGCCAAAAGAAGAAATCTTTGAATCACCAATTAAGGAAAGATCAAGTCTTTTTCTTGTATGGATTAAAAGCATCATACCATGATAAGTTAAAGCAGCAACAGAAAAAAGGGTGACAAGGCCAGTAATCCAACCAGTTCTCATAAAAGTATAAGGAAGACCAAGAACACCAGCCCCAACAATAGCAATAAAGAAATTGGCAAATGTTTTAGGAAGACAAGATTTTGAATTTTCAAGAATAGGGGTTTCTTCTTTAGGCAAAAGATGTCCTTTTGATGATTCGCCAATGGCAGCTTTTCCATTGCAGCCAAAGGCCATATTGGCAACGATTTTGATGAACGGTTGTGACCAGAAGAGAATGAAATGTGAAAATGATCAAAAAGGATTAATTCTAATGGACAAAGGAAACCATTTATTTGATGCAGTTCTTATCATATGAGATCTCTATTCTATTTCCGGTTTGTGTTATGACATCTGTAGTTATCAAAATATTGAAACACCTTTGCGTTTAGAGGAGACTTCAGTGGCTATTATGAAGCAATGTGTCCAATTGTTTATTGGTAACTTCTCTCCTACTTCTCAGGAGAATTTTGTGGCAAAAGTTAAACTTTATTAATCAAATTAACTATTCTATTTATTTATGGATAGATATTAACAATTCTGTTTGTTGTGGATAGATATGGTTGGAAATATGTTTATTACTAATTCTAAGTATTTTTACTCTGTCTGTTACATTTAGTTTTATGTCTTATTTTCTGTTTTAGTCTATGTAAAAAGGAATGTCTAATTTTATATTAGTAAATTTTTAATTTCAGCAGACAACCTGCGAAGTTCCCTTATAGGAATGACATAACATGTCTAAAACCACAAAATTCGAAGGGAATTTTTTATGTTATACACACATTTATTATAAAACTGCAATATTCAAAAATCTTCTTTTATTCTTTACATTTTAAAAATTTGTGCCCCATCAAACTATAATAACATCAACAACGGCTTAGTCCCAAATGAGTTGGGATCAACTATAAGAATTTTTACTTCTTTTTTAAATCTCAACTCATATCCTCAATATAGCAAAAATAAAATAAACGTGAAAGTGAAAAATAAGTTATATATATAAAATAATAATAATAATAACATATAACAAATATTTTCCTATAATAGCCCATGTTGTGCATGGGCCCAATAATATTATGGTTAGGATGTACGAATTAGTATGTGTAAATTTTCTTCTTAATTTGTTTACATTCGTAATATAAAATTTTACTTACAATGTCAAGTTTTTAAAATAGTTATGGATAATTTCTTAGATGATGCTATCTCTCGTTTGCTTTTAAGTTTTTGATACACCTATTAAGAGAATCATTTAATAGCATTATCTTTTATATCTGCTAAATTACTCTTTGAATATTCTCATATTTTGTAGATCATTTATTGGATCAAGGATAGATTTGGAAATATATTAATTAATGCCTTCTTGATTTTTCAAAGCCATAATTGCTTTTGCCAAATTAATTTAGCTAAAGTAAAACGTATTTTCGATCCTGGGGAAGTTCATGAATACTACTATGTTACTGGTAAGACACCATGTAGTGTCTCAAAAGCATATATATGCTACATAAATATGCTGAAGTTACATAAATTTTACTTTATTATGAAGGAAAGAAATATTAGTTTTAATTAACCCAAAAACTATGAAAAAACTATAATGTACTCCCTGTGCTTCAAAAAAATTGACACCTATTAGTCAATTTCAAAAAAATTGGCATCTTTCAATATTTTCTTAATAGGAAGCATTTATAGCCATACAAATGCTATAACATGTTTCAGACTATAAGTTTCAAAAGTTTTACAGCGACACAAATGATATGACTTATATAAGACCATATTTTTCAAAAGTCTTCCCCTTTTTATTAAAAGTTGTGCTAAGTCAAACCAAGACAATCTTTTTGAAATGGAGGGAGTTTAGAAATATAATTTTATAACTATACAATATATATAATCATATAATCTATATAAATATAGTATTATATTTATCCTCCTAAGTAAGTGGTATAATTATCCTCCTAGATAAGTGGTACGATCATTCTTTTATAGTGATGGCTTATCCGATATCTAACTATAAACTGGAAAAGAATGGGCTACATAATCATTGAGCCTTTCACAAATTACTCAATCTTAAATTCGTGTGCTTGATATAAAATCCATGATTATCCTAACCTATTGTTTATCCTCTTTAGTGTAATGACCCAACCAATCATTTTGACTTTTAGAAATTTGTTCCCTAAAATAAAACTTTCCGAACATGCTTTTATTAATTTATGACTTGCGGGGATAGTTGGTTCGGGATTTGAAAGCGTTTGGGTTGAAATGGTAACACTTGGTTCCTTAAGTTAGCCTTAAAAGACCAAGTTTGACTTCGGTCAATATTTTAAGAAAACGATCCCGGAATCGGGATTTGACGGTTCCATAGGTTCGTATGATGATTTTAGACTTGGGCGTATGTTCGAATCGAATTTTGGATAACCCGGGAGCATTTTGACGCTTAATAGTAAAAATCAACTATATAAAGGTTTAAACTTATTTAAATTTGGTTTCGAGTAGGATTTTTAGTAATTGAATTCTGTTTGGAATTCCGAATTTGAGAATAGTTCCATATAGTGATTTAAGACTTGCACGCAAAATTTCGTGTCATTCCAAGTAGTTTAAGTATATTTCGGCACATTGGAAGTAAATTGAAGAACTTGAAATTCTTAAGTTTGAATCAATTTGGTTTGAGGTGTGATTCCTAGATTTGGTGTTGTTTTATACGTTTCATGTGTTCGAGCGAGTCCGTTTTATGATTTCAAACCTGTTGGTATGTTCGGGCAGGGCCCGAGGGCTCCGAGTGTTAACCGGACGAGGCTCGGATCAATTTTGGAAATTTTGACGAAGAGCTGAAGCCTTCTGCTTCTGGTACGTTCGCACCTATGCTTGGACAGCCGCAGGTGCGACTCTCGCCTTCGCATATTTGCGTTCTTGAGATTATGGGTAACGTTTTCATCCGAAACTTTCCGGAATCCGGGTACGTGGGCCAGGGGTGAATTTTAGAAATTTTACCATTTTGGATAGAGTAATTTAATTAATAGATGAATTTCGAATTATTGTACATATATTAATTATTTTATATAACTTTTGGATAGTTTCGGATTTTTCGGCATTGAATCGAGAATTTTACGCGACGCGATAATCGGAAAGTGGACTTTGAGACGAGGTAAGTCTCTTGTCTAATCTTGTGAGGGGGAAATTACCCCATAGGGATTAAATTGAATTATTGTTGCTAATTGCGGGGGCTACGTACGCACGAGGTGACGAGAGTCCGTGCGTAGCTACTATAAATGCTAAAGTTCGGGTAGTTTAGGACTCAAAGCATGAATTACTTGTGTAAATTATATTCCTTGATTAATTAATATTAAATTGATATATATGATTATATTGTGAATTATTAGATAAAGATATTAAAGGATGGAAATCTCATATGCTTGATTTTTTGTTTAAATCAATTAATTGTTAAAAGAAATTATTCTTCTTCCCGAATTTATCTCATAATAAATATACTCTTCTTCGGGAGGTACATAAGAAAATATCTTCCTTTCTTGTGGAGCGGGCCGAACGCCTCGGCATGATAGATGCATCTATGGATCGCGCCGCACGTCCCTCGGCAGTGTACACGACACTCTGGATCAGGCCGTATGTACTCGGCAGAAATTGTACTTAATAATAATAATCACACGATACTTTAATAATTTATTTCAGCTTGCGATGATAATTGATAAATTAGAAAATCCTTGAAATTTAATGAATTATTATTCTTGCTTGTTAAAGAATTAATTGTTATTCCTGTAAATGATATTTAATTGATATATTGAGAATTGTTGATTTTGAAGGAATTTGATTATTTCCGTTTATTAAATAAATTATTTTTTTAAATTCTGTAAATTATGTTGATATAAATATCCTAGTTGTATTTCAATTATTGTTATTGACCCATAGTGAGTGTCAAAGTCGGCCATCTCGTCTCTACCACTTCGAGATTAAGCTTGGTACTTACTGGGTACACGTTGTTTACGTACTCATACTACACTTGGTGTACTTTTTGTGTAGGAACTGAGGCAAGTACTAGTGGGGGACCTATCATCTTACACCCACGTTATCCAGGGGCATAGTGGTGAGCTGTTTCTCTGATCCGTTATGCAACTACTAGTGTCTCTCTTTGTTTTTTTTCATTCTGTCTATTTTTATTTCAGACAATATTTGAGGTTTTGTATAATCTACTAGATGCTCATACACTTGCGACATCAGGTTTTGGCACACACATTGGTAGAATTTGGTTTTTTTTTTTTTTGGTTTTAAATTTTGTCAATGAATGCTTAATTTATTAAGTTGGCTTGCCTAGCCGCAGTGTTAGGCGCCATCACGATCTATAGGAGAAATTGGGTCGTGACAACATGGTATCAGAGCACTAGGTTCACGTAGGTCTCATAAGTTATGAGCAGGCCTAATAGAGGCTTGCGGATCGGTACAGAGACGTCTGTACTTATCTTCGAGAGGCTATAGGGTATTAGGAAATTTTCTTTCTTCATATTCCATCGTGCAATTGATGTAGTTCTAAATATCCTTCTTTTATTCTCTCTCAGATTGTGAGAACGCGCTCGAATGAGGTTCCAGACCAAGGAAGAGCTACTCCCCTAGTTGCTAGAGGCCAAGGCAGAGGCCGAGGGAGGGCTCTAGCTCATGGTAGAGGGCGAGGATGTCCCAGGACCGTTCCAGTTATGCCGCAGTGGGTCCAGCAGAGAATCCCATTATTGAGGAACAAGGTGAGGTGCATGTGGCAGAGCCAGCTCCGGTGGATTTCACATCTGCACCGGGATTTCAGGATGTCATGGGTCGTATACTGCGGTTCATGGACAATATNTCGCCGATCCTCAGAAATTATTGGACTTATGGACTACACTACATCCTCCTGTCTTTGAGGGTGAGCGACATGAGAATCCCCATGATTTCATTGATCGGTGCAAGGATAGACTGTACAACATGAGGATATTGGAGTCTCATGGGGTAGACTTTGCTACTTTTCAGCTAGAGGGTAGAGCCCGTAGATGGTGGCAGTCTTATGTTCTTGGTAGACCAACAGATTCTCCTCCCATGACTTGGGACAGGTTCACCCGTATCTTCCTGGACATGTATATCCCACCCTCCCAGAGAGAAGAGTTGCGGTTTCATTTTGAGCAGCTCCAGCAAGGTCAGATGTTAGTGACTGATTATGAGGCGAGGTTTTCTGAATTATCTCGCCATGCACTTATGATACTCCCTACTGAGGCGGAGAGAGTGCGGAGGTTTGTAGCCGGTTTACATACTGGTATTCAGGCCACTATGGCTCGAGAGGTTGAGATGGGTACTTCTTATGTGCC